GTATTTGCTTCTGCTTTTTTACTACTGCTATTGACTAGAAATATAAAGGATGTTTTCTTATTATTTTTTATTAAAGTATTTCTTAGGTATGTTTTTATTTTTTAGTGATATCTGTAACAAATATGCACACAACACCAATCATGTTCCAGTTCTTTTTTGTTTAAATTTGCTATTTTAACAGATTTTCTCTTAGCCTAATTTGTGTTTTTTTCACCAGTAGATGACAAAACACCTTTTAAATATTCTACCTAATATTGAAACGAATTTCATTTGACCCGAATTCAATAGTTTCCCCTAATCGATTCGGTACAATAGCATTTAAATCGGATGCTAAACACGTGTCAAACGCCGTGACATCGCTTGCAACGTATAAACGAGACTCGAAATAATATAATAGTACGACAAGAGATCAGGAAAGGGGGACAATAGATAGACGTATGTGCAATGTGCGTAACGAATGGCACCCCTAGGGCTACCACTAGTGAGTTTCAGTGCTTATTCGAGATATAGGTTTTAAATGAAGGACTTCGTGTCACAAGTAGCTGTTAGTCTTTTTTTATCCGCCTTCAGGATAGTTTTCAAGAATCGATCGTCGTTTGTTATTCGACGCTAGTGTACAACTCTAGGTTTATTGAAAGTTGACAACCCTAAGCACACACCATGTATCTGTCGCTCCTAGATCGAAATGTCCGCTGTCGGGGTAAAAAATAAAAATTAATCGCATCAAGTTTTACTGTAGCGTGAAATATTGAAATATTGTTGAATACTCGTTAGTGTCACTCCTCTTGATTCGTTTTGCGTTTCATTTCGAAATTCGTTGCAGATTTTTTTATTTAATTAATATTTGTAAGGACGTTTTTATAAGGATAATTAAAAGGAGTTCAATTATTTGTTTGCGGTTCAATTATTGGAATTACAACGTTTCGAATATAAAATAATTAATAGATTTTATCTTCTACTTTTATATATGTAAAAATACTATTACATATACAGTTTCACTTTATTAATAATTGCTTTAAAATAGTATTTTTAAACTTATTTGGACTATAAACGATACTTACTCGCCTTCGTTGCTATTTACTTTTTAGTGTATTATTATAACATATTAAAAAACAATTATATACAGCTTTCGAGACGCGGGTCATCTACTGAGAAAAAAGCACTTAAACCAGGATATGATTTTGATAAGCAAATTTGGTAGTCATGCAATGATACCAGTTCACAAGTTCAATATAATATTATTTGTTAACATGCATCGTGTGTCTGTTTGTGCATTCGATATAAGTTTATGTACCTCACAAGTCCAGTCTGTCGCTGAATATTCATGAGGTAGAGTCTGTTGGAGTTCCCGCCGCTACGCCGATATCTTCCTACTCGACAAATTAGTTTAAAACTCTCGTTATAAATGTCAAGACGGGAATTAATAATGCTAGAACATTTCGGTAATATTACATGTTAATTGCTGTATTATTTTTGTGATTTTTATTATAGAAAGCAGTATTATATTAACAGAATAACTTAAAATAAATTTGATGACATTTAAAACCAATCTAATTTTACAAGATGTTAAAATTAGACACACGAAAATAAAGACCCAACCAAGTCGGTCACTCAAAATTATTAGGGCACTAGCTATCGCTGAAGACTCTGTCTACGAGGCATAAAGAAACCAAAAGCAGTAACCTTTGTGTTCTTCCAGAGTGTGCTTTACAACTTTGCCAAATTTTATCCAGATCCGTGCAGTTGTTTAGGCTATAAACGCAAACAAACATCCATCCAAACTTTCGCATTTATAATATTAGTAAAAAGTAAGATTTAATATTCGAATTAATGAATCATATCAATGTTAAATTAGAGAATTCTAACATTCAGAGTACAGTATGTATGTACTCGTACGCCAAGCTCAGGTTTAGACAGCTTACTCTATGTTATTTAATGCAAGAGACGTCCCTTTGCTTCTGGTATGTACATTAAGATTCTCTTGGCTCAACTGCATTTATATGTATTTACTTAATAAGTAATTAAGATCTGTCAGAGTATGTAACGCAATAAAACAAAATTGTTGATTAAAAAATAGTACGGATATGAATGTAGAAAATGGTAAACTTTTCTTTCTAGAAAGATCTCACGTCCGTAATTGGTTTTCTCATTTTCCTAGAATGAAGTCATCTTCAAGGACCGATAAGAATACTTGCCTACATTCCGGCGATGCTTGTGTTTAGCAGGAATGTGGGTCAAGAATTGACCTGTTTAAGACAAAAATGGAATATGGATTTCCGTATCGTAGCGTAGCACATACATTTAGCCAGACAGACCCACAAAAACTTATTAATAGGTTAAGTTAGTTTTTTAATAGAAAAATTGACTCTTTTGATTTTCACTATTATTTTCTAACAGGCGCTACACACATTTATATTCGTCTTTTTATTCTAAACACAGATAGACATGTAACTTAAGCTAATTATTAAAATTAAATTATAATACAATTTAAAGTACACATTCCATTACATGGTTGTGTACATTATACCCCTTCTCTATCGACACTAAATCGATTCAAAGTGAACACGAATTCGCCACAGCTACAATGTTTATCCAATGCATATTTTATGAGCGGCAAAACTCTTCCGTAGGGATTAACACCTTCCGCGCTTAGCGTATAAGTAGGGGCGAAATTAATAGTTCCATTTTCACATTACGTTCTAAGACCGGTTATTTCGTGGCCCTACGTAAATTATAAATTGGATTACACGTGTACTAATTTATTTGGAAATAACATGCATAGTATATAAAAGTAAATACGTAAAAGGCTTTGCCAATGAAGAGTCCACATTTTCTTTTACAAACACATACCAGACACCATTAAAATTAGCCGTTTGTGCCATGCTTTAGCGAGCTTACCAAAAAAAACTTCGTTCTGGTATACAAAATACTATTAAGGAGTCAAATGGGTATATTTTAAAGATTAAATTAATCATTAGTATAGCTGGCCCCAGTAACTATACATACGAAGGGGAGAATGAAACATTTGTTTCCATTATTGCCATGAAATTAAATCGGCGTGCCGAGTGCTTACTCAATTTGCTAATGGATTGCACCGGCTTATATAGATGTCGACATTCCTAAAAAAAAAATATTGGCACTATAATCCCTTTAAGTACGAAACTTGTCTAGGATAAAGTACGAAACTACTAAATCGATCTTGATAAAATTTATAGCTTTATGGAAGCATAATTTAAAATGTACGAAAGATTTTAACAGTGGTAGTGCCCGCTTTAACATCTTAGCACGAATGGGCCGGCACGCCCGGTGTAATACCACGACCACACAGGAGACATGCGTGAAATGGAAGCAATTCCGTGTTTCGTCTGGAGGAGGCCGGAGGCCTAATTTAAGTCCCTTTCTCTTTACCACCCTTTTCTTTTAAGGATAAGTTGGGATGAGGAAGTGGATTTGACGGTGGGGGAGATGCATACGAAGGGGAAATATCCTCTTTATGTGCGTCTCCTCCTTCGTCGTATAAGGGTAGGCAACGCATCTGCAATTGCGGATGTCTATGGGCAGCGGTCGCTTCGCCAATTTGGCGGATTCAGGTGGCCGCTTGCTCGTTTACCACCTTATGTTATAAAAAAAATTGCCTAGTTTTTTAATGTAGATAGTTATAAAATTGTAAATACAATTGATTTAATTCAATCACTCCCCTTTTTTTAGATTAAAGAGCAGTAAAGAACACAGTATATAGAATTACAAATTCTATTTATAACATATCTCGTGAACAGCATCCTAATGAGACATGGAAAATATCAGGACGTTCAAAAGTAAGGAGATTACCTTTAATATTTTAGTAAGAGAAGGTCCCGTAAGCTTCGCGTCGACTTCAACTGAATTTGCATGATATTGAAGACGGAATACGTCGTTACCATCTAAGTTTAGTGTTAGCGACGCTTTGTATGAGTGGCGGGAAGATATTTTATGGCTACAGCGTTGGAATTTGTCACGTATTTCATAAACCTGGCTAAGCGAACGACGAACTCAATATCCTGATGCTCCATTTGCAAGCGGTACGGCCCTATTGAATTTTTCTATTCATTTTGAGGTTATGAAATTACGAAATCATAAAAAGTAATGTTTACTAATGTATAAAATCGTTCCTGTAGTTTTTGCTTGATTCAAATATATACAAAAATACAAATCTTTCCTCTTTATAATATTAGTATTGATTACTGTAGCATTATCCTTTCAAGCGATTTAAGTTTAAGATACAACGGCATAGTCTACTATAACACAACAATAAAAGAAAGTCTTTTTACCATCGCCCTACTGTTGCAATCATCAATAATAACATGGTCCTATTTAACAATAAAATAGTAAACGCAACAGTTACATTAAATAAATCAATGACTAAATAGTTTAAAAGTTATTATTCCTGACCCTTCACAACTGCCGTGTTGCCATGTTCCAATTTGCGCAATCCCAACTGCGTTCGTGTGAACTACATGTAGTCGGGCTTTGGAAACAATTTGCTTCTCTCCTTTTGAGGTAATTTTGTTGAGAATACAAGTAGGTAGGATACTTGATTGTGTAATCTAAAATGTACGATAATATATTATAAACATCCTGGTATCCGTCTTAAGTCACAGATATATGATTCAGTAAAAAATCAACTTTCAAAAACCCTCTTTTAAAGAACGATTTTCGGACAAAAATCTTAATTTACGATAAGTGTATGTCATTTTGCCTTCAATAGACAAGTTTAACGTAAGATATTTCAGATTTTAAATATTAATACGCTAGCAGAAAATATTCAGGATTATGACACAAAGAAGCAAAAAATAAACAAGGGAAATTCACGCTCTCCCTTGTTTGCTTTCGTCATTGAGGAAAATCCTCGAAGGGAAGAAATTCCTTATTGACAAAACGTGTCTTTTGCCTTGTATTGGAAATATTTTCTATTCCTTTTGCAAAAGCGACTTTAATCTTGATATATTTTGTCACTTTTATACCGAAAAATATTAGATTTTTTATTGACAATATTAATTGATAGTGAAATATGTTTTAAGGTTTTAATATGCTTGCAGTTTTTTTTGTAGTCAGACCGATGACTTTATAATAAATTTAGGAGATGGTTGAAAAATGTACGAAACCTGAATTTAACCGGACAGGTTTTGTTATAGAAAATAGAAACAATAGTGGAATGGACGCCATGTTTCACAACTACCCGCTTGTAGTTTGGCGTCGGTTAGTTTGGTGAAGTTCTGGCGTGTTACAGTAACGCTACACAGTGTAAGCTTTCTGAAAGGACATTTGTCATTGTTGGATTTGAAGCTTGTTGAAACGAAGTTACTTGTCCTGCTAATTTAAGTTACAGGTTAGACACGAATTAAATTTCTAAGCATTTTAATTACGATTTGCTACTAATATTTTGTATATTGGAAAAAAATAAACTATATGTATAATATGTTTTCTTCATGCAACACAGACAGGACTTACGATCCAATTTTTTTTACGATGTGCAGTCGGGTTACGTTTATTAGTAGAATAATCAAAAGCCATTTTTTTATTTTTACTGATACTTGATATGAATACAGATAGATATTTGAACATTTTATAATTTCTTCGTGAGATATTTTCAAAGCAATCATTCGATATTCACAAAACTAATTAATTTACTTCTAATACAAGAGAGTAAATGTTTTCACAAGACGGAGTCCATTAAGGCTTCCGCCACTTATTGGCTATTGTTACATCAAGTTTATTTAAAGACGAACTTAAGTTCCAGTTGCACTAACTTCGCGTACTTTGGACGTTGCTTGTCTTTAATTGTAACGTTACTCGTCTTCATTTAGCGTCATTTGTTTAACTTAGACTAAGTTTTATTTTCTTGTTAATTCAATCATTTAAAACTAAAAAGTTCCTTCTCAGTAGACGCTCGTGGAAAATGCGAATACGTCAAAATTCAGGGTTCTAGCTATCGCAAAATTTCCGAGAAAGTCTATTTTTCGTGTATTGAATTTTTTTATCAAAATCAATAATACTTGTCTATAAAATATTTCCTTTATTATCATTTTATAGTTAATACTAACATTTTTTTTAATCTAAAACTGTATTTAAAAATACCGGACTTGATTTAAAGAATTCATGTAAGTGTTCACAACAACACAAAAGTAAATGAACACGGCTGCAAAAAATATTAAAATGAAGCTAATAATAAAAACAAGAAAAGAGGTCTCATAATGTAACTCGTCGAAAAGTTCGATTTCAATACATACCTTCATAAACAAATCCAACAAAAATAGTAATAGCTGCCGAGGCCAGCATATTTTGCATGAAGCATACAACAGATCTTGCGATGTATAGAATTCCGTATGCTATCAGGATTGACAGATGCGATACGTACCACAACGAACATAGGAAAATGCTGCTGTTGACCTGTAAAATATAAACTATAATATAGTTCCTGGACATTCTGTCCTCGTAGACGGGTACTGTGGTAGACACCAGCAATAACATCTGTTGTCTACCACAAGACAAGTATAACGTAAAGTGAAAGCAATTTTGCGTATCATCTAATGAGTGTGCGTTCCGGAGACCTAATACTAGTCCCCTTTTTTGTTGTTTGAAGGAGTTGTGTTCCATTCCCTATATCTCAAACTTAAGTATAAGTAATTTAATATTACAATCTTACTTTACCCAGAAAGTTTGTAGAAACAGTAAGAAGGATATAACTATCTGATAAATCGATAGACTGGTAGAAACGAGAGAGAATATTAAATTGACGGCCGACATCGGCTTCTTACTGAAGCCTCCCAAGGACGTTGTGTTGAGAAGATACGTCACTGAACATAGGAGTATTACTAAAGATGCCACCTGCAATTGAAAGTAAAGATAGACTAATAAAATTGCTACTGTCTAAAATGATTTTTTATGACGCTGCGTGTTATCTCTAGGATCTTCGAATATAAGTGGCATTATTAGAGTATGTATTACCATCCCGGTAACTCCAACAAACATCACACTCTTCCGAGGGTCACGACCGCAAAATGACGTGAGGTCGCTGCATTTGAATTTAAATTTTCCCTCATTGTTTTGTGAATATGTTTCCGATTTCATTTGTAATACAAACGATACAAACGTCAAACCAACGTCTATGCTATTGACATTTTATAAGATCGTGATTTTTTAGTTCAAAAAAATATTAATTTTGTACAGATAATATAAACATTGGATTGAAAAAAATGGTCCGGTCACTTCTACTTACATTTTTTTATATAATAATACGATATGATATAAATAAAGCAAATCATGAAATAATTTTCAACTCCAAGCTACATTTGTAACAGCTAGAGAAAATGGAACTCATAAAATAAAGGAGCGTAAAGTTAAATGGATCGTACAAAGGGTATTGCTCTACAATTCCTAAATTCTAAGCGTATGTAAAACATTTTAATTTTCTTTATCTTTCATTTATTAAAAAAAATATTGTTTATTGAAGAATGTTTACAATATTCGTAAAATAATATCAGTAATTTATTATCAGTGTCAGAGTTCTTCAATTTTTATGTTCAGTGTAGATTTGTCATACTAAAACAATACTAAAGGCTCTTATATTAATCACTAAAACTTTAAATGTGGCAGTCTATGTCTTAAAATTTCACTTACGTATTGAAGTACTGACATTTTAAATTCAGTTAAGTTTTAGGGAGAATGAAATCCACATTCATAGACCTTTTTTAAATAAAGGCTCTGACAATGCTGATCCATTCGCAATTCCTTTGGGAAATCTTACATTTTATGAATTTTCAGTACATTCCTAAAATTGGAAAATCGTATTAAATGTTATGATCGTTTTTCTATTGTCTCGTTTTTTTATAGAAAAGATTTACCTTTTTCGAAATAAAAATCCGTCTCGAAAATTATTTATAATCGATATATACGATATTTTAGTATTTTAAGAACTATATATAACCTCTGTATAGGGAAGTTCATTTGTAAAATAAATATCTTGTAACAGAAGTATTTGAAACTAGCTTTCGCCCGCGTGGAATAAAAAAAAATGCGATTAGCCTATGTGTTCTTCCAGACTATCCTTTACGTCTATGGCAAAATTCATGGAGATCCTTTCATCCGTTTACGCTACAAACTAACAAACATCCATCCATCCATCCACATAAACATTCGTATTTATAATATTAGTAATATAAGTTAATTTATAAATTCTCTCATTTCAAATCGCTGCACAATTTATTATCATTTAAATTTGTTAATTAACTATTAGTGTAACGGTTGATATCGTTGAAAACGAATTGCCATTTCATTAACTTTAATGCGGCAATTTCATTATATTTGTTAGTTGTACTATGTGTAATTTACTTTTTTATTTATATAAATACGAGCTGTTGCCCGCTACTTCGTCTGCGTGGTATTAGAAAACATACGAACTATATAAATAACAAAAACCTACGTATCCCTCGGGAACCGGACACCTCGGGGATGAAGCTTATCCCATGTGTACTCCAGACTTTGTTTTATCTCTGTGCCAAATTTCAATAAGATATGTTGAACCATTGCAGAATGATCGTTTAAACATTAAAAAACTAAATTAATGAATCCCACGGAAACCGTAACTTATCCCGGGATAAAAAGTAGACTATGTGTTCTTCCAGACTATACTCTAAACCTGTGCCAAATTTCATGGAGATCCGTTTAGCCGTTTACGCTACAAACGCTAACAAACATCCATCCATCCATCTAAACTTTCGCATTTATAATATTAGTAAGATACATAATAGGTAAGTTATCACATATTCACAAAGAAATAACAAATTCAATGAAGAGTTTTTTATTGATTTGTCTCATATTTGGATAAATTATAGAGTAAATAAACTATTTTGTAAACAAACTTTTAATCAATTCTCACAATCTTAATAAGAAAATTAATTGCTATTTCTAATTTGTATGTAAATGAATTTAACGATAGGTTCCAATTTCAGTTTCAGTATCTGATAAGTAATGAAGAGGGACGTAATTTCACTTTTATTAGATAAAATCCCGTCATAAATTTTACGTCTTTCAAATATATTATACGTTTTGAGAGAAGATAATGGTCAGTTAATTTCAATTTGTATTCATAAATTCTGGATTAAAACATTTTATATTATATTAAAAATTTAGATTTAATACTGGCTTACTAATAAATAGACTATTCAATCAGATAAATGTTGTCATTAATCTGAACACTAATCTATATTATAATAAAGCGTAAACACACTTCTTTGTCGCCTAAGATGTCAGCAATTACAACATATTTTTGAAAAATTCTTTTTTTTAATCAAAATCCCTACACTTGCGTCACACTTTAGGCTATATATTTTAAGGCCATTAAACTTAGGGGGTAAATATTTTGTATAAAACCCTAATGTGGAAAAGAGACCATAAGTCGCTGCCAACATCAAGGAAGCAAGGTTGTCATCATGTCATGTCATTTTGACATTTGAATTTGACAGTTGTAAACAATGAAAAAAAAAATCATAATAACATACGGATGAAGTCTCATGGAAACAGCTAGTATTAAATAAAAGTGAAATACATAAATTATTTAAAACCAATTGTTAATGTAAAACTAAGAACTCACTTCTTGTCTACGAGGTGCTACGAGATTTTGCTACGATGTAGAAGAACTGGTTTGCTTCTATTAAATCTTTAAACAAGTTTTAGAGAGTTTAGTCTATTAGTTATCTAACTTTACACATATTTTAAATAAAAAAAATATCAGAAACAAAAACTTTACGTAAGTTTTAACCTACATTCAGCATTATTTATACGTGTAACACAAGGCGCGTATATTACAAAAGTTTAGTTTTCATATCTAAACTAGCACACGATACCTGCAGTTTTTTACGACATAGTTCACCACTGATGTGAAATTATAAAAGTAATTCGAACATTTAATTAAATGGAATCTTTGACTAAACCATCGCATAACTGATTAGTCGTGCTTTGAATTCTATGAGCATATATGGTGGTGCGCACGGTTCTCCATTTTTAGTTGTGCAACTAAGCCAACTAAGAATGGGCTGCGAAACAATCGACAATCGCTCAACAGTTATAGAATAGTTTAGTTAAGATGTGCGCCCGTTTTTAACATTATTAGGATAGTTAGTATATTTTTTGTCTAAAATGCGGGCCGATTATTTTCAATGGAACTTAACGACAGGAATCGTATTTAATAGATTAATCAAAACAATATTATCACCTTAGTACAAGTGAGCCTTTGTCTAATTCCAATTAAACCGGCGCACTGTAGCACAAACTTATTATGCTGGTTTGTGTTTACGTCACACAAACAAGCTCTTGTGATTCAAGTTGTGTTTGCTTTGAATCGTCTTTGACACTCGTACTATATCTTTACCTATGTTAACAAACAAAAATCAAGATCTTTATTTTATTATTACGTTGAAATGTTTTGTTAATGTTTTAAACTACCAACAAGATAACGCACATTTATGCTCGGTTGCTAAAATTTCCTTGTATTCTATAATTACCTAGTAATAAATTAATGTAAGGTTGACTTAAGTGTCAACGGAGTAAAACTCTAGTTACGTAGTTCGGAAACGCATTTCATGAAATTATGGAACGAAAAACATCAATGAATGATTAAATGCAGCTAGGAAATCGGCCATTAATCTTTTATTTTACCGTAAATCTATTTATATCCAACTGAACGATCGAAAGACGTGACACATGAACGTTCACAAAACTATTTTAGATATAGCGGTGAACTTAAAATACGAAAATTTTAAATTTCCCGGCGGAGTGGCAACTGGATTAGCATTGTCACAGCCTACACTCCCGTGCTCCCCAAGGCATTGCACTGAATAAAATGTTTGCAACTTAAATGCACTTTATAGTTCACAAAATTAAAGCACCGAAAATACTATATCAGGAAATAAAAAAAAAATATTTTTAGCATCTAAAAAATATAATTATATTCAATTATTCCTCAAACTGTAGATTACATTCAAATACAAATAAGCATAAATTCTCACGTGAATCAAGTAACTCATATTTTGACAATTTTATATTAAATATTTATTTACTTAGTTCTTTAGTAACAAATGTTGTATAAAATATTTTCTCATAACATCAAAAGCTTTTTGACGTTATTCTACTACAGAGCCGGCATGTTTCACAACTTGTAGTTGTAGTTTGCAACGAGTTAGTTTCGCAAACTACACGGAGTTAAGTTGTATTCAGGTGGCTGGCTACGGTTTTAGAAAGAGCATTTGTCATTGTTCAAATTTATACTGTACAGTTGCATTGAGTCAATCTTGTATACGTGTGGTCATACTGCATTCGTGGCAAACCAATAATTAACGGTAAATATATGAAACTGAAAAACGTTTTAAAAAAAACTTGCTCGTTATATCGTCGATAATAATAATCTTACTAATATTATACATAGGAAAATTAAGATGGATTGATGGATGGATGTTAGAGTTTGTAGCCCAAATTGCTGAACGAATCCCGATGAAATTTGACACAGATGTAGAGAATATACTGGAAGAACACATAAGCTATGTACTTACTTCTGTTTTTAACTCCACGCGAACAAGCCGCGGAAAGCTAGTAATGTAAAAGTCATATTTAAAGTATTTTTCGTGTTAAATAAAACCTTTACCTTTTAATCTTTTATAAAGAAGGCCGTAGCAGATTTGTCAATATAAAATCTGTTGGCAGTACTATAGGACCTTGTTCCTACTTTCTTCAATCTTCTAGTACCTATTGTAGAGTGTAAATCTTGCTTGCGATTATGAAAGACATGTGTTAGATATCTATTTTATTTCACCTATCGAAGCGTGTAACGTTAAATTGCAAATTGAACAGATCTGCATCCCGGTTCTACGCGGCTTGTTGATGAATAGCGCCATTTGTTATAATCTAAATGGTCCCAGTTGCAGACCTATCTCAATAAAACTGCAATAGATGACTCGCGCTTAGAGTAATTGCTATACTTCATGCGTTGTTATGACTGTATATAAATATAGTTTTTGCCCGCGGCTCCTTCCGCGTGATTAAAAATCAAAAATAACTAGCCTGTGTTCTTTTGGACTATGTTTTACATCTATGCCAAATTTCATCGAGAT